CACACTACAACGCAGTAAACAAAAACAGGACATTCAAGCAGACCATTTAAAAATCCATTTAACACCCCACTCGAGGGAGCCAGTGACTGAGGGAAAGCTTTGCCTGCTTGTGGAAGGACAGCAAAGATGAGACCTGCTTGGCCTCTTGTGGAAAGGAGTTCCCAAGTCTCTTTGGGGTTTTGTTTTTGGTACCAGGTGAAGACCAATTTATTACCCCCTGAATAATTTAATCAAGCTGTGTCATTTATCTTCCATGTGCTTAACTACACAATAGGATATTGGCCACTATATGACTTTAGGTTTTAGGTTTAGGTGAACTGCTTGGAGAGATATGGCTACTAGGCAGCTGAGAAAGGCAACAGTTGACTTTGATATCAATAGAATTAATTTCCAGGTAATGTGTGCATAGCCTAAAATCCATTGTAGGCCATGGGTCTAGATTTAGGACCCTTCTAGATGGAACTTAATGTACCTGGTTTTATACTGATCTTATTGGTACTTACCCCACTATCTACATGATGTTCCTCCTGTTTCACTTTGTATTTTGACCTTTTCTGTGTCCTGCTCTGCATTTTTGTTGCCCTGAAACTGGTTTATTTTTAGTCTTGCTTTTCTGGGGTGCAGCTTAGTGATATGACGTTTCCCGCTGACGTTCACATCTGCGATCAGAATCTCCCAGTCTAAAGCTTTTCAATTAGTATCCCAGCAAACAAATAGTATTCCAGCAAACAAATCAAATCTCAAATGAGGGTGCACATCCTACGCTAGTTCCTGTAGAATTCCTGTCCATTCCCCTCTGATGGTAAACTAGGAAAAAAATAGCAGGATGCCCCCATTTTTAACAAACAAACACCATGCTCCACGTTTCATTGAAAATCGCTCACGAACTGCAGAAGTGTAATGTCTCATTCCCCGTCATGGATTGTTGTCTCGTTGTGGTGAAGGGGCTTGAATAATTCAGAGAAGCTATGGGCTATGCCGTGCAGGGACACCCAAGATGGACAAGTCATTCTGACTAAACGTGATTCACCTGGAGCAGGAATTGGCAAACCACTCCAGTATCTTTGCCACGAAAACTCCATGGACATAAACAAAAGGCTAAAAGATATGACGCTGGAAGATGAGCCTCTTAGGTCGGAAGGCATCCAACATGCTACTGAGGAAGAGCAGAGGACAAGGACAAGCAGTTCCAGAGCTTATGAAGTGGTTAGACCACAGCCAAAAGGACGATCAGCTGCCGATGCGCCTGGAAGTGAAAGGAAAGTCCGATACTGCAAAGAAAAATACTGCATAGGAACCTGGAGTGTAAGATCTATGAACCTTGGTAAGCTGGATGTGGTCAAACAGGAGATGGCAAGAATCAACATTGACATTCTGGGTGTCAGTGAACTAAAATGGACAGGAATGGGCGAATTCAATTCAGACAATTATCATATCTACTACTGTGGGCAACCTTCCCATAGAAGAAATGGAGTAGCCCTCATAGGCAACAAAAGAGTGGGAAAAGCTGTAATGGGATACCATCTCAAAAATAATAGAATGATTTCAATATGAATCCAAGACAGACCTTTCAACAAGGTAGGCTTCGGCAGTATGTGGACCGAGAACTCCCAAAAGTTCAAACTGGATTTCGAAGGGGCAGAGGAACTAGAGACCAAATTGCTAACCTGTCCTGGATTATGGAAAAAAGCCAGAGAGTTCCAGAAAAACATCTACGTCTGCTTCATTGACTATGCAAAAGCCTTTGACTGTGTGGACCACAGCAAACTATGGCAAGTTCTTAAAGAAATGGGAGTGCCTGACCACCTTATCTGTCTGCTGAGAAATCTATATGTGGGACAGGAAGCAACAGTTAGAACTAGATATGGAACAACTGATTGGTTCAAAACTGGGAAAGGAGTACGACAAGGCTGTATACTGCTTATTTAACTTATATGCAGAATACATCAAGCGAAAGGCAGGACTGTGTGGATCCCAAACTGGAATTAAGATTGCCGGAAGAAATATCAACAACCTCAGATATGCAGATGATACCCCTCTGATGGCAGAAAGTGAGGAGGAATGAAAGAACCTCTTAATGAGGGTGAAAAAGGAGAGTGCAAAAATGGTTTCAAGTTCAGCATAAAAAAAACTAAGATCATGGCCACTGGTTCCATCACCTCCTGGCAAATAGAAGGGGAAGATATGGAGGCAGTGACAGATTTTACTTTCTTGGAAGATCATGGCCACTGGTCCCATAACGTCCTGGCAAATAGAAGGGGAGGATATGGAGGTAGTGACAGATTTTACTTTCTTGGGCTCCATGATCACTGCAGATGGGGACAGCAGCCACGAAATTAAAAGACGCCTGCTTCTTGGGAGGAAAGCAATGACAAACCTCGACAGCATCTTAAAAAGCAGAGACATCACCTTGCCGACAAAAGTCCGAATAGTCAAAGCTATGGTTTTTCCTGTAGTGATGTATGGAAGTGAGAGCTGGACCATAAGGAAGGCTGGCTGCCGAAGAATTGATGCTTTTGAATTGTGGTGGTGGAAGAGACTCTTGAGAGTCCCCTGGAATGCAAGGAGAACAAACCTATCCATTCTAAAGGAAATCAAGCCTGAGTGCTCCCTGGAAGGACAGATCCTGAAGCTGAGGCTCCAGTACTTTGGCCATCTCATGAGAAGAGAAGACTCCCTGGAAAAGACCCTGATGTTGGGAAAGTGTGAAGGTGAGAGGAGAAAGGGATGTCAGAGGACGAGATGGTTGGACAGTGTCATTGAGGCTACCAACATGAATCTGGCCCAACTCCGGGAGGCAGTGGAAGACAGGAGGGCCTGGCGTGCTCTGGTCCATGGGGCCATGAAGAGTAGGACCTGACTTAACGACTAAACAACAACAATGTCTCATTACAGACTGAACTACAGAGAGCAAAGCAATTTTAGTTGGGACTTACCTATCCGTTGATAGAAAGATGCATAAAACTTAGCTTTACTTTCCACAGGGCATTTCCTAATAAATTATTTTTTATTAACAAGTGTCCTGAGGTCTCACCTCTGCATCTTTGAGATGGATTTTTTAGTTGGAACTTATCTATCAGTTGATAGAAAGATGCATAAAACTTTACTTTACTTTCCACAGGGCAGTCCCTAATAAGTTATTTTTTATTAACAAGTGTCCTGAAGTCTCACCTCTGCATCTTTGAGATGGATTTTGTGTCTGGTCCATCTAAAATAACACACACACACGTTATATGCTGAAGTGCACACATGCTGTACAGTTTCACAGCAGTGTTAGCAGGAGTGAATTCTTCATTAAAATCAAAGCAATCCTTTTGATCATGGGTGTCTACATTTCTGGCAGTGTTTTATGCACCAAAACAATCTCTACAGGTGGCATTTAATAAAATAATAATTTATTGTACAGATTTGAAGGGGAGACAATCCGAGCAAATTCCTGAATTAATTATTGTTCATTTCTTTATTAAAGGATTTTATGGTCAAAAGTCCATTAATAATAAATGCAAAATAATGAAAGAAATGCAAAAATATATTGTTATGTAGGCCTCTTGGGAGACGGAGTAACTTACACTCTCACAGACCACAAATATAGCTTAGTGTGTTGGGTATCTGGCTGCAGACCCAGGGTTTAAGAGTTTGATTCCCCAGTGTGCCTTCCAGAAGGAGAGCCTTGGATTAGTTGCACAATCCCATATATTGTTATGTAGGCCTTTTGGGAGACGGAGTAACTTACACTCTCAGAGACCACAAATATAGCTTAGTATATTGGGTATCTGGCTGCAGACCCAGGGTTTAAGAGTTTGATTCCCCAGTGTGCCTTCCAGAAGGAGAGCCTTGGATTAGTTGCACAATCCCAGAGCAGCCCCAGAAGAAAGGATTGATAAACCACTTCTCAGTACTCCCTGCCTAAAAAACCCTGAAAACAGATGCTATAAATTGGAGTCAATGTAACGGCACATAAGTAAATTAAACTAATCCAAAAGGCAATACACTTTATTAGAAGCCGCCCAGAGTGGTCGACCAGACCAGATGGGCGGGATATAAATCAAATCAATCAAATCAAATAAATCAAATCAATCAATCAATCAATCAACCAATCAATAACATTTTAATATTATTAATTCTTTTTAATTGTTGTTGAGGGGTTTTTGGGGCTCTTTCTTTTTAATCTTTGGAATAATTTACTGTTTTTAAATTTTAATACTGCATTTTTAATAAAGTAAGCTGCCTTGTGTCCTTTTTTGGGGGAAAGGTGGGGTAAAAAATATTTTAAATACATCATAAATAAAATAGGGGGAAAGAAGAAGAGAAAAGAAGGATCTGTGTTTGGAGTGTTTGATGTTTTACAAAAGGTAATGGTAACATATAGTTTCTCAGACTGAAGACTCTCCTTGAAAAATTCAAATTAAATATTGTTCCATAGATTCCTCCCCCCTTTAAAAAAAATAATCAGTGTTATTTTAAAGATGCGTATATAAAATGCCTTTTAGGGACAGAGGCTGAGTTGATTTATGTTTGAAAATCTTTGTGAAACACACACATTATTTAAATCCCATGGCTTTCTGCATCTTTCTCATACATTAACAGTCCAACACAGTCAGATACATATAATGCAAGGCAACATATCAAAGGTTGCATTTGAAATACAAGGCTCAAGGCACAGCACATTCGCATTAGTGAAATTATGCACTCCTGAAAATGCAGTGGTAGGGAGACCATTTCCACATCCCATCCATGCTACTTTGGATGTGTTGAGACCTGTCGTACAAAAATTCAGCACTATTATACACATGTGATGAAGAACATTCATGTATTTTGCTACAAAAATGCAAGTTTCAGAAGGAGAAATATACAAAACAAAACACCCATGCAAGTCCAGCTGTAACCATGAACAATTTTAGGGAGAGGGATGCCAACTTCACACGGTTAAGGCCAAGACAAGTAGTACAGCAAGCGCAGTCCAAGGCAGAATGTGAAAAAAAAGAAAATACAGTACTAACTCTCTGAGAGGATTCAATTTTCATCAAGTACCTTTGAATGTCAAGTTCTGAATGGAGGGAGACCAACATGCACTGCAAAGCCTGTGGATGGGAAAGAGAAGGGAGGGCATGGGGAAAGAACAGGGGTAGGGGAAAGAGAGAGAAAAATTAAACAAAACAAAGCAACAAAAAAAAGAGAGAGGAGTGCAAGCATAAAATGGAAATGTACAGCAACAAAACAGCAGCAGCCTGCAAAAGAAAAGGGCATGAACAGAAATAGAAAACAATCCATAAAGAATTTAAGAGGAGGCAGAATTATATTATCATTTTGAAACTGTGCCTTATGCCAGAACCACCTTTCCGAAACACACACGCCTCGGTTCCTTCCATTTCTCTCTCCAACACCCCTGCGTCAACTCTGAGGGAAAACAAACCTTTTCCCTCCGAAACTATAATACTTTATCCTCTGCTAAGCCTCCTCACATCTTTCCCGATCTATTTATTCATTACAGGGTGAACAAATGCACAGAGAATGAAGAAACAGTGAAGAAAGAGAACAAACTCAACTTTTTGGAAAGTCTGTAAAAAATGAAAGGAAAGAAGACATGAAAAAAGGGGCATAAGTCAATACACATTTGCTCCCATCTATCTAGACTTACTACTGCCGTGAGCATTTACATAGAAATTTACATATTCATGACAATGCAAATACAATATGCTTAAGTGAGGTGTTGACAATTAAATAGGAAGCAGCAATTTCATCAGGCTGCAGGAGAAAGAAGTTGTAAAAGCCATTCCTTCAGATCTACTGAAAAGCCAGCTTCATTCAGCTCCTTCTGTCCATGACTGATTTCCATTTCAGCTGATTCAGTTAACAATTAATAATGTTTAGATGTCTGTATTCACCTCTCCTTGTCCTTCCCCATCCATTCCCCTCCTCCTTCATGCCATATCTTTTAGACTGCAAGCCTGCAACCATGGACCTGCTAACTGAGTGCACATAAGCCATTCCAGGGCAACTTTGCAGGCTGCAGAGTAAAATTCAAAACAAAATGACAAGCAGACGGATGCAAAGGGAACCTCTCCACAGCCACTCCTCTGAGTGATTTTAGGAAGACTTCATTGAACGCCATTTGTCAGCCCATTGACCATTCATTCACCAAATTGCTGTTCAGCTGTTGAATTCAGTCCCCCGCACCACCAGCAAAGTCGAATGACAAAATTGGAAATCCAGGACAATTTTATGCAAAAATCAATAAGCAGTGTTCATCTGTTTAAGATAACTAGTTTATGAACAAACAAAGAAAAAAGGAACATAATAGCCACAAGTCAACTATGGTGAGCCTTTCCTCTTGCTGGTATTGCAGGCCCTGCGAGATCTGGAGATGACAGGTAGGAGTGTTATCACAGTAGCATCAGGCTGTAATGATGACATTTTATGCATGTTTACCAAGAAGTAAATCCCACTGTGTCCAGGAGAGCTTAATCTCAGAAAAAAAGCAGCCAGGATCACCTGTTTGCTATCATTCGTTTCTTGATTACTCCACTTGATTTTAATCAATTAACCATTTAACTGATTAAATTTAAATCCTCTGTGTATTATTTGAATCTCCTTGTTGAAGGAAAGGTTAAGATGGTAATAAATACAATTGTATTGTAAAGTTACATTTTGGACCACACTTCTTAGATTTTTTCAGCTGAAGGATTCTGGAGTTCATGTCCAAAAGTAACTTTACTAGGTACAGTCATTTTGGGTTTACCTAAATGGCAAGGAGGGGGGATATGAAAAAGTCTTTTTCTTTTGTTTTCAGGTTCTTTCTGTGGGTTCTGAGAGAATCTCTGAAACCCAATAATGTGAACTTTTTCAAACAAATTAATCCCAAATGTTTTCCCTGTGCACATCCCTAAACATTACTCAGTTCTGTAAGTTATACATCAGAATAGTCCCTGCACTATGGCATATCCCTTGCAAAATACTGCAAAGCTTGCAATGACTATTAAACCAGTTCAAACTTGCAGACCTAACCATGATATAAAGCACCTATTTCCATGATGCATTAGAGATGAAAATCCTAACATTGATAGCCGTCCAAGAATTAGAGACAGAGGAGAAGCAGAATCCAGTAAAAACAATGGACAGATTTAAATATCTAGATACTAGCATTTAACTAGGTAGGATGTGGACTCTGAAAGAGTTTAGGCAGGAAATTGGGATCAAATGCATATTTCCTGCAGATGAGGATTTTGTCGGTCTATGTGAAAACATAAGAGAGATTGCCTGATAGTACTGTAAATGGGTAAAGAATTCTGCTGAGTGTAAGCCAATGGCAAACTGGGTAATAAATAGAGTTTCAGCTAAGGAGCAGAATGTACCCTACAACAGACACTAGAAGCCTCATTGAAGGGCAGGCTTCACACAAGGCATGCAGTTGGCAAATCAGTCAGCTGAACAAAGGTAAACAGGAACCTTTGCAAATAAGCACTGAAGCCCTCCCTGGCAGGAAGCATCAACAGAAAGAACTGCTGGATAGCTCAGTGTTTTAGGTATCTGGCTGTGCAGTCAGAGGCTGGAGTTCAATTCCAGCACTGTGTCTCCTTGACAGGGCTGGACTTGAGAATTCATAGAGTCCCTTTCAGCTCTGCAGTCCTAAGATAATAAAGTTAAAGGAGAGTCTGAAATGTTTGCATGTAGACATCCAAGGCCACGTTATTTTAAACCAGGGGACACAGAAGGAGCCTCCCCAAAGAGTGGAGAGTATACTGGAGGTGTCCCCTGGCAACTGTGTGCAAATGGCAAACCCTTCATTTCCAGAAGCACCGCACTGGAACAGCACCTAATCCATCCACTTCATGGACCCCAACCTCCTAGGAAAAGTTTCCTGCAAAGATCTCAAGCTCTGACTGTCTAATTATTTCAAGGTTTTATCTTGGTTTTAATTTAATTTTACCTGCATATCTGTCCAAATTTTAAATTTTGCTTTGCTCTTATATAAATAAAGAAATATTTCCAAACCCACCCCATCGTTCTTCACAAAACAGTTAAAAGCACACCTTCAGGGTCTTGCAAAAGTACACACATTTTAGAGGGAGCTTGTTAAATCTCACAGCCAAATGCCACTAAAGAAGCCTTTTCCTCTTCCACTTTTATATCTGGATTAACGGATCTTGCATTAAAGCTTTTCAAACATCTTTGAACTTTCTTCCGCTGGTCCAACGTTTTCCCAATTATTTTCTGTTCGTTTCACTTCATCAGTGAAGACAGAGATAGTCAACTACACTAGTTGCCTTTGTGCTAAATTGCCCATCTGTTTATCATTATTATTATTATTATTCAAAAATACCAGGCACAGTCCATCAAAATTATAAAAACATTGACTGGTATTATATAACAGATACAAGTTTTAACTAAAAACCTAAGTACCGGTATCCATGAAATATCGGCACAGTATGTATGCTGTTCCTAATATTGACTTTTGGTAGCTCCAATTGTGTTATTCTGAGACCTGCAACTGCCTATAATACTGTGTGAAATTTCTTGATATTGTTCTCAAAACCCCAATGACTGCGGTGGCCACTGAAGTGTGTTTCATCCACTTCATATTAGTATTATTATTTAAAAACACCAGGCATAGTCAAACATAATTATAAAAACATTGACTAGTATTATCGTCGTTGCTGTTATTGTTTTGTTGTTGTTGGTGGTGGTGGTGTTGTCATATTCTCTTTATAAAACCACTATCCTTCTCCTCCATGACATTGATAGAAAATTATTTCATTACTTGGAAAATGATTCCACATAAGCCGATTATGACTTACAGGAAATAAGAAAAAACACAGAGATAAGCTGCGGGAGGGGGACGGAATAAGAATATTTCTTTAAAAAACACAATTGAGTGATGATAATGTTTTCAATATTAGAAGACCAGACAGAAAAGATCTTTCATTATAAATGCAAATCTCGCCTTTCTTGGCTCCGTTATTTTTATTGTTCATTTTCTTTAAATTGACCCTGGTTAATCAAAAGAGACCCTAATTCTGGTTCAGTAAAGAACATTAAAAGATTCCCCAACTTAAATTTTTTTAATATAAGATGAATGATACCTCAAATAGCAAAAATAAATAATCCTTGCATCACATCTAGTTGCTACCAATCTTCAGTTAAGTCCTTCATTAACCCCAGTGTGGTACAATAGGACCCAGTATATCTCAGGGAGTCCAGCCCTTGTCACAGTGGGGCGCCGGAATTTCCTACCACTGACTCCACAGCCAGATGCCTAACCACTGAGCTATTCAGCCAGAGCACAATTTGTTAATTCAAAATAATGGGGTTTTCTGGGTGGCAGATTCTTCTAGTTTAACCCAGACAGGCAATCTGCCTAGCCTTAATTATTCACTTCTAACTTTCTGCTGGAAAATATGTACTAACATTCCAAATTTCAGCAGAATTTACAATGATGATAAGTAGCATTAAGGACTTATTTACATGTTATGTTAACTGTGTGGCTTACAGCCATGTCAGGAGATTTTAAACATTTATTCATAGGCCTGAAATTGGGGGAAACGATTGCCGTTCGGACCACTGTACGTGGGAAGGAGAGGTTTAATTCTTCTTTTTCCAACTGCGATCCTGACGGACTCTGCCCCTCTCAACATAACAATCAGCAATAGAAAAAACCCCAAACAGATCCTACTGGCATCAATGGGAGTGCTTCCTCCCATTGCTAATTGCAGTGTAGAGTCAGGACAAGTTTTATCAAGTTCACTGCCATAGAGGAAAAAGCTGGACTAACCTCCACATGATGTGGTCACAATGGAATCCTCATCCCCTCCACCTAGGATTAAATACTTAATTCCTTGACATGACCACAACCCACGCAATTAACACATCATGTAATGTATCAGTAAGGGACAAATGAACGGTGTCATTGTGTTCTGGAAACCATAGTTATAGCAAGGCATTGAGGCTTAGTGCTCCAACGGTTACATTATGCTGCACAGCTGTATTGTTCCAGATGTATCAAAACATGTCAACATGCCCAAGCTCAGCTATATTTCCCCTGCTCTAGATTTTAGAGAACTTGGATGGATCAGCATGCAACCTC